CTGGGTTGACTTTGTGCAAGGCAGATGCCCTACCTGCTCTGTTACCGCTCCAGCCCCTAAAATAGATTTTCTTAATCCCTTAAATTAAACACTGGACTGACAGTTATTGGGCTATTGGTGATTGTGTAAACTCAAAAAGACAGCAGCGGCTCTATCTCTCCCCGCTGCCTGCGTTTGCCGCCCGTGTTCGGTAGTCTCAGGCCATTTCCCCCACCCTGGGTAGGTCGATGGCGATGGGCAGGCGAAGGAAGTAACGAGGGCCAGTCTGGTTGGTGTCCATTGCAGTTTATTCCATTCCCATCTCCGTTCTCCTCTGATTCTCCCCCCTGCTTTTTCCTTCCCCATGCTACTTTCATTCTCCTCCTTGATCCCCCTTCATTCTCCTTCTGGCTCTGGAATCTGGATCCCCTTTCTCCTTCTCCTTCTGGAGTCTGGATCCAGAACTCTAACAGGACTCTAACAGTCCTGTTAAATCCCCCTCCTCCCATGAGGGGTTGGGGCTTACACATAAGTGTTGTCTCAATCAATAGGAGTAAAGTTCTTTCCCTAAGGGGATGCTTCTAGGACAGATACTCTCTCAGCAGGACACCCCACCCACAAGCGGAATCCCATGGGTGTGTTTCTCCTCTCCTTGTCCAACAAACATACAAGCATTCATAATATTAATCATTTTGTATGGACACAGTAAGAGATACATTAAGCTTATAGAATTGCTTTTCTGTAGTCATCTTGATCTCAGACCACAGTGCTCAGGCCAGATTAGTCTTTCCTATCCCTAGCAGGATCTTAGTCTCATCGTTACTTTTGGATCATGACAGAATTTGTCCATGACCAAGTTCTTAACTTATAGTTAAGAATCGTGGCGCTTTGGCCTGGCCCATTTTGATACCAGGGTAGCTCACATCTTCTTCTTCTTCTTCTTCTTTTTTTTTTTTAGGGTAGCTCACATCTTGCCCTGGGCCCATTCAGTCCCTCGTTGGGACCCTGCTTTTGGGATGCTAGGAACTAAGGGCAACTGAGGCTTAAGTCAAGAAAGCAGATGCCCGGAAGTGAATAATACTCAAAGCTAATTAAATCCTAAGTTACAGAAGCATAATATTAACTGTCTTCCTGTATCTATACAAGAAGGACATTTTAAAATAAATGTACACTATTTAAAGTAAACTATTCAAAAGATATAAGGAGAGGAGAAAGGCATTATTAGCTTACGATACAAGTTCAGTGTCCTAGAAGTATCTGACCTTACAAATTAACAGAGTATGATTAGGGGGGAAAGCTGATTAACTGGTTGGGAAGAGAGAATAGAGAAGTGGTTACAGATACACAAAAGAATGGGAGTGACTCAGGAGCACTGTGATGGGTGTAACCTGATAAACCTAAGCTCATTGTGGCAGGGGAGAAAGGAAAAATCAATTGTTACCCTGCAGGTGATGCTGTATTTTGTTGCTATTTATTTGACTAATTGCCTATGTGGAACACCAAGACTGTGACAAAGGTTATAAATTGTTTTCTCCTTGGGAAATTATGCCCATGAATGTAATCCAGAGTTCTTAGAATTTATTGGTTGATGCCTTACTTCCAAGTTTCTTAGGCATGCTGAAAGTTCAGAACTCCTTTCTTTTTCTTTTTTATTTTCATGTTTTGGGGAGAGAAGGTGGTTTGGGTAATGCTCAGGACCTACTCCCCATTCTGCTCAGAGTCCCTCCTGGCAGTGCTAGGGAACTGTGTGGTACTGGGGATCAACCTTTATCAGCCACATGCTATCTTTCTGACGTAAAAAGGAATTTTTTTCAAAACAAAACAGATTTTATTTGGAGATTTTGAAGGGAGAGATAAAGAGAGAGACAGGCAGGCAGACAGGCAGGTAGGTAGGTAGATAGATAGATAGATAGAGAGAGTGAGAGAGTGAAAGAAAGAGCCACACTCAAGGGAGAGTGCGGACTTCCCCAAAGACAGAGAAGCCTGACCTAAACTTTTAAAAGAATTTTTTGAAATAAGAGTTTTTTTTCCCTTCACTGTACATCTCGAATGCAAGTTCCACATCCTAAGAAAAATTAAAAATCAAAGAGACAGAGTTCAGAAATGAGAGACTTGGGTTGGAGAAATAGTACAGGGGATAGATGCTTGTCTTTTATACATATCTTTATTGGTTCTGTACCACCACATATAGTCCCCCCAAGCTTCAACAGGAGTGATCCTTGAGCATAGAGCCAGATGGTGGACTTTTCCCCCAAAGAAATACTTGATGCTGTAGTTCACTATTTTATTTTAATAAAATAACTTAATATGAAACTTTTAGCTTAGATTTTCATGAATGGACTTTTTTTTTTAGAGGGGATGCAGATGTACATCTATGTGGTTTTAATTCCATTTATAGTTTTTTCAGTAGAGTTGAGTTATGGAGTAATAGTATGATAAATACAGTGAAATTGACTGTTTTTTCAGTAAACTATGTTTGTTTAGAGAACAATCAAATAAAAGTAAGAGTTAAAAAATTACAGTTATTTGGGGGTGTGGTCAGGGCTCATTCCTGGTATTGCTCAGGGGGTCATATGCAGTGCTGGGACTGAATCTGGATTGGCTGCATGCAAGGCAAGTGCCTTAAACCCTATACCATCTTTCTGGCCCTAAAAGTTTAAAATCTAATTCAACTTTGTTTTAGATTCTCTCTGGCGTTCTACTCAGTTTCCGCTGTACAGTATCTTTTTGCCTCCCATAGTATGAACATGCATATAATTCTAGTGCTAGGTATTTTATTCAGAACATAGCTACTAAACATAAGCTAATGGCTTCATGCTATAGGTTCTCTATCCAACCCCTGTGCCTATATTTTGACTGTTTAAAAAAAGAGTGTATCAAGGAAAGTGATAGAATTCTTTTTTAGAAGTCTCTTTTAAAATAGACACTCATTTAAGGAAACAAAAATAAAATAGACACTCAAATAGGGTGGTCAGAAATCAGTGATCTACTGTAAAAGAGAGAAATGGCCAACCTGTTTATCCAGTCCTCCAGTTATATAATATTTTGTAAACTCTGGGCTGGAGCCATAGCACAGTGTGTAGGGCATTTGCGTTGTGCGCGGCTGACCCAGGTTCGATTCCTCCGTCCCTCTTGGAGAGCCTGGCAAGGTACTGAGAGTATCCCGCCCACACAGCAGAGCCTAGCAAGCTCCCCATGACGTATTCATTGATATGCCAAAAACAGTCTCACAATGGAGATGTTACTGGTGTCCAGTAAAGCAAATCAGTGAACAACAGGAGGACAGTGCTATAGTGCTTTGTAAACTCTAAAATATACATTTGAGAAATATCTTAAATGTATTTTTACATTGCCATTCATGTGTCTCAATTTTTACCTTTTAAGAAGATGTGTGAAAGATTGACTTGTCTCTATAAATTAGATAATTTGGTAATAGTTCTGCTGTGGCGCTATGCATCTTAAAATACAGAATGATTATCCTCAGAATGCAAACTTTAATTTTAAAGTCTTTCATTGGTGTCATGTGGAAATTAATGTTCAATCTTTTGCTATGTAACAGTTCTGACAGAGAGGATGTTCTCTTTATGTAACTCTGTCACATCATTTCCTCAAATTAAGATCACTTTTAGAATGGTTGAGGTGGTGGGGCCAGAGAGATAGTACAGCGAGTAAGGCACTTGCCTTGTACCTGGCTGGTCCAGATTTAATCTCCAACATCCTATGTAGTCCCCTGAGCACTACTAGAAGTGATTCCTGGGTGCAGAGCCAGGAGTAACCCCTGAGCATCACTGAGTGTGTTTCCCCCGGAATCCCCCTCCCTCCAAAAAAGAATGGTTGAGGTGCTTAAATCCCTCAGAGAATGGATAAGCATGCTGCTGGAAAGAAACTGGATGCATTCATTTCAGATTTTGAAATTTGCTCTATAAAGGAATACTTGGTTATTGTCCATTGAATCTTTAATGTTCTGTTGTTCTGGGTTAGGTCTCCTTCCTTCACTATAGTTTTGTGATTTCTGCTGTACCTCTGGAAATGTTAGATGTCTTTTTAGTAACAAGACTAGAATCTACTTTAATACCTACATTAATGTATAATTAATAATGAAGCCTCGACCATTGTTATTAAAAGCTGTCATTTTTCACTTTTGCTCATGATTATACATATGCAAGTGCATTTGATATACGTTTTGTAAGAGACTTCAGAATTGAATCCTCATTGAATTTTCATAAATATATTTTAAGAAAACTTAATTTTTTCTAAAGCATCTTTTATTAATAGGTGATTGTATTCCATGCTTTTTTTAGCCTCCGAATCACAAATGTTAGTGTTTCATATTAATTTTTTTGTATTAACTGTAAAGTTTTCAGAAATTATAATTTAGCTTATACATAAAAATTTCATTTTTAAGAGAAGGAATGGATTTAGAAAGGTCAAGCAATTTAGGATACTCATTGGAATATCACAATTGGAGTGCTTAAAAGTTTTTAGAATAGGCTTTCTCTTCAAGCTCATGTTCTCCCTTGATCATGGGCCTCCTTGTCTCTATTTTTCTTTGCTTGCTTATTACCACTCTGGAGCAGCCTATGTTCTCTGTTGAACACATTTTCTCTCATTCTGTCCTGCACATCTAAGCAGGTTTTGTTCAATAAAAACTACCTTGCTTTTCTCTCTCTCTTTCTCTGACACACATACACACACACACACACACACACACACACACACACACACACACAAAGAAAGAAATACTGTCTCTTCAGACCTAGTCGATTGCCTCGAGCAGGCCCCAGTAGTAGAGGTTATTGTTGTTTTACAGAAGGTGGTATTATAGATGCCTTTTAAAAATAAGGGTTTTTTTTTTTTGTTTTTGAGAACTTTTAATTATTTAGGAAGAATTGAGGGTTGTTTCGCCATAAACCAAAATCTTTTTGTTTGAATCATTTTAGTTTTCTAATAGTTTGCTGATAGAAAGTTTTAATATGTGATAAGGCAATTGACTTCTTTTGCATAATATTTTTACTCTGCAGGTTGTAAAAAATTAAAATGAATAAACTAAGGCAAAGTTTTAGAAGAAAGAAAGACGTTTATGTTCCAGAAGCCAGTCGTCCACATCAGTGGCAGACAGATGAAGAAGGGGTTCGTACTGGAAAATGTAGCTTCCCAGTTAAGGTAAGAGTTCATGTGTGGAGAGAATTGATATGAAATTGGTATGAAAATATCTTGTTAACTTGGGCAATTAAAAAAGAATCCTTTGGGTCTTAAGGGATAGTACAATGATTATAACACTTGCCTTGCATGCAGCTGCAAGTGCAATAAAAAGTTATATTTTGTATGATTTGCATAACAAGGTTTACTCATTTATTTGCCTTTGGTTTGATTTTTATGTGGAATTTTGTTTTTAAAATGGAGGAAGACAGGACTGGGGGTGGGGGTAGGGGGATGACTCAAAGACTAAAGCTCCCACTTTGCATGTGAGAGCCTTGAGTTCAGTCTCCAGCTGAACAGGTATGGCCCCATGGGCACTGCTGGATTTGACAAAAAAAGATAAAGGTGAGAAAGACTTGTATAATGAGGTAAGTAAAAAAATGAATTTGTTTTAGACAAGAGGAAGAATACTGCTCTTTAGCAAAGGTGGAAAATTAGGGTGTAAATGCATCTAAATTTGTGCTGTTGATGACTTGATTTTGATGGAGTTTTTTTGTGCAAACATTTTCTGAGGTCGGAACAATAGTACACAGGTAGGATACTTTTCCTGCACACTGGCCGACTCACATTCAATCCCCAGCAAACCCTGAGCACTACTGGATGTAGGCTGAGGGGAAAAAAATTCTTTTTTCAAGGAAATGGGAAATAATGACATCTGTAGGGGAAGAGAAGTGAAATTAATTTTTGAAGACAGTATAAAAGTCATAAGAGAATAGGAGAGAACAACTTAGAGGAATGCTGTATCTAGACTGTACTCAAACAAAACTACAATGAGTTTGATCTCTCTTGTGTTTGTTTAAAAATACCTTGTGCCTATTTAAGTATAATAATTTAGTATTAGACTAATAATGATTGATTAAAGTAGGTTTCAGCTGATCTTACAAATTTTGTCTACTAATATTTTAATGGGCTGGAGTGATGGCACAGCAGGGCATTGGCCTTGCATGCGGCCGACCCGGATTTGATTCCTCCGCCCCTCTCAGAGAGCCCCGCAAGCTACCAAGAGTATCTCCCCCGCATGGCAAAGCCTGGCAAGCTACCCGTGATGAATTCGATATGCCAAAAACAGTAACAACAAGTCTCACAATTCGTTGTGAGATGTTACTGGTGCACACTAGAGCAAATTGATGAACAACGGGAAGACGGTGCTACAGTGCTACAATATTTTAATAGATGCATCCTCTTAATGGAGGAAGAACTTTTTGGGGAAAGGGGCACACATTGCTGTGCTGAGAGACTACTCCTGACTTGATGCTTAGTGGTTACTTCTAGCAGGGCTCAGTGGACCGTATGATGCCACAGCTCAAACCCAGGCCTCTCGCATGCAGAATGTGTGCTTAGACTTAACATTCCACTATCTCTCCAGCCCTGGAGGAAGAACTTTAATGTTAAAAAGTAAAGTTTGACCTAAATGAAACATAGTACATGCTTCCCAAATTGGTGGATTCTGTTCCCTGGAAACACTAGATAATTCTGGGGTGTGATAGTAGACTTCTGTGCAGTTTCTGTTTGTTCACTTAAAGAACATAGGTTCTTAGGGGATGGTGAGTGGTTTCTTTATCTAAAAAGGGGGCAATAGGCCAGATAAATTGGGTCACCTCTGACCTAATGATTCTCAAAATGAGATTCCCCAAAGCCTTTTCATGGATCCTAAAGTACTTCTTTTCCCCACCTATATCCCTGTGTGAGACCATATTTTATTCAAATAACTCAATCAAAACAACAGATTGCAACAGATTGAATGTAGAATAAATATGACAATTTAGTTTTCTTCATTAGGCCAGATAGTAAAAAAGATTTGTAAAAAAGGGGGAAACAGTGATGCTCTTCTCCATAAATATTACTGCTTGAAAAAATATAGTTGTTGTTGTTTTTAATTAAAAATACGTATGGTGGGGCTGGAGCAATAGCACAGCAGGTAGGGCATTTGCCTTGCACGTGGCCAATCTAGGTTCGATTCCCAGCATCCCATATGGTCTCCTGAGCACCGCCAGGGGTAATTCCTCAGTGCAAAACCAGGAGTAACCCCTGTGCATCACCAGGTGTGACCCAAAAGGCAAAAAAAAAAAAAATACATATGGTTCAGGTAGAGAGCTCAAGTGTTAAGAACACTTGCTTAGCATGTGAGACACTCTATGTTTGATCCCTAGGATCACATATATCCCAGAACACTGTTGGATTTAGCTCTGGTGTACCCCAAGCACCAAACTATTTGGCCTTCACTGTGATTCACATCACAGGGAGTGGCCCCAAGCCCCCACCACACAACATTTTTATTTGTGGCCCCTATGCAAAAATTGAGGTTGGGGCTCAGAAATCATAAACATATGCCTTATATGTTCAAGGCCCTGATTTCAATTTCAGGCATCACATGACCCCCGAACACTGTTGTATGTATATAGTCCCAAGCACAGAGTGTGGCCCTGATAACTCCCAAGTACCACTAGGTCCAAGCATTGAACTATCTGGCTGCATTGATTATCACCCAGAGTGACCTCTGAGCCCTTTGAGCACTGCTTGGGAAACTACCCAGGAGTTATTTATGAAACCAGAGAGATAGCTCAGTGGGCTGATTCAATAGCACTGCGTCCCCCCAACCTCCAGACAGGAGCAATGTCCAAGTAGGAATAGAAATTGAATCCTGCTTATGTGTCCCAGAAACAAATAAACTTTAATGAATTAGATTTTTTTTAAGTAAAGTAAGTTTATTTGGAAATTAAAAGAAGGAAAAGAGAGAGATAAGTGCTCAAGAGAGAACACAGGCTTTCCCAGGGCGGAAGTGCTAAATACACATCCTAAGCAGGGTTGCACAGACTGTTTCCCCAGAATGTGCCCTAAAGCCTACATTCAGGGAGACATGTGGACAAATGCCTAAAATTTTATCCTTAATTTTTAATATACTAATTATCAAGAGCTTTAATAGACACAAAGATTCTTTGCAATCCTTGGTAAGTTCTGAGACAAAAACTTTTGAGAGCTACTGAACTTGCATACGGCAGACCTGGGTTTGATTTCTTCATCCCGCTCGGAGAGCCCAGCAAGCTACTGAGAGTATCCCGCCTGCACGGCAGAGCCTGGTAAACTCCCCTTGGCATATTCGATATGCCAAAAGCAGTAGCAACAAGTCTCACAATGGAGACGTTACTGGACCCGCTCAAGTAAATCAATGAACAACAGGAGGACAGTGCTACTGAATTAAACAATAAACTTCATTAAATACAGTCGGGGGCCTGTAGCAGTGGATAGGACGCTTGCTTTGCACATGACTGACCTGAGTTCAATCCCTGGCATCCCATATGGTCCCCCCGAGCACCACCAGGAGTAGTTCCTGAGTACAGAGCCAGGAGTAATCCCTGAGCAAAGCCGGATGTGATTTCAAAAAAGCAAAAAAAGAAAAAATCAAAAACCATTTATGAGGTTATCTGCAAAGAATCTACTGCTGTGTTGAAGCACAATTTCAGATTTTCGAGGCAAGTGCTTTAGCCACTGAGCCATTTCCTGCTCCATATTCTGTCTTTTGCTTGGTGAGTTCAGACCATGAGCATTTTAGGGTGATTATTGCCCTAAGGGGCTTAATTACTGCCTTTCATTGATATGGTTTTCCCTGGTGATTCTCTCACTTTCTTATTCTAGTATTATTCTGTATATTTCTGCTCTAGAGTTTTGTTTTGGTGACCACCATTTTAGAGTAAGTTATTTTTATCTGTTCTAAATGAATGTCCACTAGTGCTTCCAAATGTCATTAGGAAGCAGGATGTCTGTTATCTGTGGCCCCTTGCCCACTACCTATTAGTTATTTTCCCAGTCATTGTTTGGGTGTTTTTCTGTTGTTCTTACTGTTTTGTTTCTGGGCCACACCCGGTGTACTCAGGGCTTAATCCTGGCTCTGCACCCAGAAATCACTCCTAGCAGAGTTCAGGGACCTTATGTGGGTGCTTGCAAAGCAAATTCCTTACCTTCTGTACTTTTCTCTCCAGCTCCTTGCCCAGTCCCAATCATTGTTACCACGATTGCTCCCACTTCCTAAATTCCCATAATTGAAAACTTAATGGTGTTGGGCAAGAGAGATGTTATAGAAGGTAAGATGAGTGCCTTGCATGCAGCTGCTTTGGCTGTGAGCCAGGTTTTTTCCCTGGTTCCACTTATGGTTCCCCCGATCACTGCCAGGGGTCACTCCAAAGCAGAGAGCTAGGAATAGCTCCTGAGCACTGCTGGGTGTGACCCAGAACCATATACCACAGAGAGGGGTAGGGTGGAAGCTGGGGGAGAGGGGGAGGGTACATGTTAAGAACTTTGACGTTAATTTATTGTGAAGTGGGAAGCCATCAGACAGTTTGTAGGAAAGAAGTTTAATTATTTAGCACTTAGTTTAAAAGACTAGACTAAAAAGATTAGCATTAACATACTCATAATCATCTCTAAAAGAGTCAGGGTTATGGTAGGTCAATTAAGAGGGTTGCAAACACCAAGTGTAATGATAGTGGCCTACATTAAGGTGCTGGTAATAAAAGTAGCAAGGAGTCAGAATTTAGGTTTTGTTTATAGGTAGGACTGATAATATTTAAAACAGATTTGGCAACATAAGCATTTCAAAAACAGACCTCAAGGAGTGTGCCATGATTTTTAAACTGATAAACTTGGAAGAGTTGGTGACATACATTATTTTGAATAAGATTGTTGTAAGAATAGATTTTACAGTGGGTAGGGTGCTTTCCTTGCACACAGCTGACCCGAGTTTGATCCCTGGCCCCTGAGCCCTGCCAGGAGTAAGCCCTGAGCACTGCCGGGAGCGGCCCAAAAACAAACAGAAAAGTTTTTGTGCAGTTGGAATTTATATATTTAATATATATAAATGAATATAATATAAATATATTATGAATATAAATATATGTTTATATTCATATATATAAATATATGTGAATATAAATATATGTATGAATCACCCATGAGATAGTTATAGACTT